CTTTGTTTCAGCCAAACCACCGAATTTCTGCTTCCTCCTTAAGAACGAGGACTTTGTCTTTATCCGAGAGAACAGACAGGAAGGCAATGATGTTGTTGTAGACCTCATTTCACAGAACAGTGCAGAGGACCTGTTTAAAAGACCGTGCAACTTCACGATTATCAATGTTGCATATATAAAACACAGCGTTTTGAATGGAGCTGCAAGACAGTTATTACACAAAAATGATCTCTACCGGAAGTGTGTCTGTCTTCCACATTTGGAGGGCTATGCCGTCTTCCCCCTTCTCCATAATATGGAACAATGAAGCGACACAAAAAGTAAGATATATCAATAATATGGCTGGTATCAGTATATTAAAAAATAATAACTAATATAGAACACAAATACACTTACTTGCTCTCCTACTAACCCACACTAAACACGGAGGATGACAATGAGAATGGCCAGTTTGTTAACGGTAACTGTCAAATTCATGAGGCCCTCACTTATTCGTTGACCTCTTTGGGAACAATTAACAAATGTATGTGCATGTGTGAACATGATGGTACTTTGACTGTAACACGAATGCTTAAATCTGGTGTACTGTGTTAATTAATTTCTCTCTACTCAACTTTCTTTACAGATGATGCAGAAAGGACACAGTTCAGGTTCATGCACTCAAACACACATGCTTCTTCTAGTTTTAATTTGAATTATACTTGCAGTATGTAAATAAAAATATTTAATATTTCACTGCAGGAAAGCGAACCAAATTTCCTAAGAAGGACCCAAACTTTGAGTATGGTTAGTATGACTTATTGAATAATAGTTTATGTAGCCTTTACATTTTTGCACAGATTTGATTGCATTATAAATGAAACTAATATATTCAATGGTTGTGTGCCCTAGATATTAAAGACGATGATGGCGACCGTGTCAAAAGAGGGACAAGTAAGTACATTGTGTATATGGGCTGCATTTGATGTTGTGTAGCACTTAAAGCTTATATTCTTTTACCTTTTTTTAAAAAGGAAAATTGACAGCTTTTCCTCCACCACCGAAAAAAATGTCCTCCACAAAACAGGATGACACTGATGCCAAAGGTGAGCGTGTAAATCCAGTTTCTGGGATGATCAGGATTTATTACAGGAAGCTGTGTTTTGTAATTGCCGTGTAGATCATGATGTAATCCGACGATTGTGTATGTAGTGTTTTTTTTTTTCTTTAATTACTGCTACTCTCATCTTTTAATCACTTATTCTTGCTTTTTTCAAGTGGTCTAGATGCGTTTTTAGTAACATAGGGTTTTTAAAATGCCATTCATTTCGGGGATTTGTCTTAGCATCACATCCTGCTTTGAGTCTGACCAATCAACACAGAGTAAATCTCAAACCCCACCAGGAGTTTTTCAGGGACTCTGTTCGGCCCCGTAAAAGTTCCTGTAAGCGGCCCTGTGGGGGGGGGGGGGGCACCAATAGCCCAAGCCCATAGAATTACCCTGAAGTTCCTGCATTGGAAACGTACCTAATGTTAATCCAAGATCAGAAGTCAAAAGCAGCATGTAAATTATTCCTATTGCACAGGGGAAGTTGGGTGATGCTAAAGGTGTTGGTTGCTGACAATAAATAGGTTTTTACAGTTTGATGACACAACTTTTGTCTGTTTAGATACCTCAAAAGCTGGAGCCTACAGTTTCAAAAAGATACCCCAAAAAGCAGGAAAGAAGACCCCAGGTAAGCAGTTTCATGACACCACAATAATCCTTACAATAAAATAATTGTCAGCTATTCCAAATCAATTAATGAAAATTGACATGTTATCTTTAGTAGAAGAAACAGAGTTCCTCTGATGCTGATCAAGCTGTGGCTCAAAAGAAAGGTATGTTTTTAATTAGTTACACAACAGTTCTGTCCATGCTTTTACACACAGTGCTCAGTAAAATGTATGAAAGACAGCTGCAGAGTTACTGACTCAGTATGTTTACATAATCGAGCTATGCTCATAGCTTTTTGAGCATAGCAGTAGTAGGACAACAGGTTTTACATGCACTTCGGTTGTCCAGTTATTGCACTTATTGCATAACTTTGCATTAGAGTTTAGTGAGAACACACGTGTCATAGTGGATGAAAAAAAAGTACTGGATCTGGTTCATTATAACATAAAGACTAAGATTTAAGTTATATTAATGATATATGTATTGAAAGAATTAGCATGTAGTTTTCTGTAGAAGGGTAAACCTTTTTCATTGTACCATTAAATGTATTTCAGTGATCGCAATGAGAAGATGGTGTTCATGCGCTATACTTTTCATTTAACTCCAATGTCTCATGCAAAAGTATACTTTCTGAAAATATTATGCAATTAATTACTTTCCATATTGTGCTTATACTATAGTGAGAAGATCCCCAAGGAAAAGATCAAGCCAGCAGCCAATCACTTCCACCACACCAAGGAAGAGGTCAGCAGTTGACTCTCCTGGGAAGAGGGGGAGCCAGAGGCCACTGTCCCTTGGTTCTAAAAAAAAATCCCCTAAGAAGATGCCAGGTAAGCCTAAAAATTATGCACCATCAAAATTCTTAACCACATTGTCTTTATTCTGAAAAGTTAAGGCAATGTTTTTATAATTCCTCTGTTTTATTCCTCTCCTTTCTACTAAATCAAGCACCGACCTTCCCAATGTCTGAGGAAAGTAAGTATAGCCATGCATGTGAGTTGAACTGTATAAAAATGTAATGTTTTTGAATTTATGGCATCAATAACAAGATCTCCTTCCATCTGTTTCCTGTTACATCCTCATATTGTACTCCTCCTATATAATCCTTATATTGTAGTGCTAACAACTGAAACACGGAATTTAATGCATTTCCTCAAATAGTAGCCGGGTCCTTCATTTACACAACTGCCCAATATATACAGCCTTTATTTCCAAATCCCTATGTTTCTTTTTACACATTAGTGAAGAATCTAATCTTCAGTAGCTCATCTTAATCTTTCTCATGTGCTGTTCTCCTCACTGCCTGGTCAGGCCTAGGTCTCTGTCTCCATTGTGCACGCCGTAGCACTTAATTCACTCCCATTCAGGTCGATCTAAGCATATTCACAGTGTGCACTGCGGTCTGAGTAGAGAAATGTTGTCCTGCGGTGCAATGCTGTTCCTCTCTGAAGCAGAGGATGAGGTCAGCTTCACTCCGGTCAGTCTTTACAGATAGTCCACAAAAGTCAAGAGATTTTATTATCATATTCTTGTTGGTTTGTTCCAGGCTGTGGAGGAGGTTTATTTTATTTTTTTCAACCTGGCCTTTTTTTGTTCGTGTAAGTGATGCCCCGCCCCAGCCATTAATTGAATACCAGTTATTATTTGAGGAAATAGGTTGAAGACGATAATTGTAGTTGTAATAAGATGCATTGTCTTTTCAGAGTTTCAACGTAAAGTTTTACAAAAGCTCCTGGATATAGAGGACATGCTGAAGGAGCTTCGGGGCCAAACGGTGTCCTCGATATCCCTACAAAGACTGGACTCTGTCAGGGAGTTCTTGGAGTTGGAGGACAAAGTGGCATCCAACGCAACTTTTAAGGACCAATTGGTATTGCCATTCATCAACACACTTGTATTTCTTTGTGGTCCAAGCAAATTGAAATTAATTTGAATAATGTTGAGGATGTCTCTTAAAGGAACATCAACTGACTTTAAACATTGATATACACAGACTTCCCATCTGGCCAGTGTTGGAGGGAAATCATTGATGGACTGCGTCCACAAGGTTCTAGATCAGTATGTACAAATGAACAGATCAAGCATGGAAAATTTCTTCAACATTTTGGGAAGTTAAGATGGATAGCAGACAGATGACTGACATTTTCAGTGAATATGCTGGAAGACGCAGACTGGTGCCAACACTGACAATTTAGATTGTTTTTTCAATTTTGATATGTTTTGTTTTATCGTTAATTCTATTTTCCTTGTAAATATTATACATAGGATAAAAAGTTGATTCAAGTAACAAAGTACTTATTATTTTTAGCATTTTAAAAGCCCACCGAGGACTATAATTTTGGTTATAAAAATGTGGATCATATTAATTTGGAGGAATCTTCGTTACCCACTTGTTAATGCACCAATTTCCATAAATATATAGTTTCATCTTTGGAGTTATTTAGATAGTATTATTTGCCCCTTGTGGGACTAATAAAGTTGTTGGTTGATTGACTGTGCAGGAGGTCTGAGACAGTTGCAGAAAACTTCAAACCATTGATAATACATTAAATTTTCTTTATGCAAACTGAATGAACACAATGCTACATGAAAAGTCATTTTTACCATCATTTTCCCAGTTATGCCTCTTGTTCAGAGTTTTATATTGTTTGTCTTTCTTCTATGTCTTTCTTCTATTTCAGATTGTTCACCAACAGCCTGATGGCAGGCTACAATATGAGGGGGACAGGAACCAAAATGGGCTTCCAGCCAACGCGTCTTTACGCTGTTGTCCTAGGTAATTACAACATTGTTATTAATATTTTTTTCCTGTTAAAGAATGTATGTTTTCAAAGTCTGAGAGTCTGATTGATTTTGTATTACAGACGCTGTCAAACGATGGGACAGAACAGCGACCGAAACTGCCATCAGTGCCGTGGTGGCAGATTACCTGAAACACGCACCCGGGAGGTCTGGTGGAGGGGGTTATAAGACGAAGCCCGCCTTTGCATAATGCCAAGTGAAAAGTTTTTGTTCATTTCTTGTTTCAATATATTTTTAAAAAGTTAATATTTTAATACGGTTCTAATGTCAGTGTTTTTAGTTTTTCCAGATTCTTATTGTTAATTTCTACAAAATAAAGTGTTCTGTTTTAATAAGTTTGGTGTTTGATTTGTGTCTTCAAAATGTATACTTTTTTATAAACACCATCTTGTAAAGGCAATGTCTATTTGCAATCACATGTTGGCTTCTTTAATTGATAAGTGAATTTTGTTTTATGGTATTTGGCCTTTTTATGGTTTTATTGGAAGTACAGCTGAAGATTTGACCCGGGACGGGAGTCGAACCCGGGTCCGCTGCAGAGCCTCGGCACATGGGCCGCGCACTCTGCCAACTGAGCTACGGCTTTTCGGCAACCTTTCGTAATGGGCCAGAGCACAGCTGAATCGGGGGACATTTGGACGTCATTTCCAGGACGCGGTCACAAGACGTCCTCTCGACGACATAAACTGGACGGTTATGTGGTCGGCTTAGGGTCATTAAAAAGCCGTCGACTTGACGTCTTGGTTATGACGTCCAAAACATTGCCAATTTAGCCTAGTCCGGAACGTCACAGAATGACGTCAAGACGACGTCAACCTGACGTCATTTGGCTTGCTGGGCTGGACTTTGAGAAAAACAGCTCTAATGCCCTTTGGTAATTAAATGCCTCTGGACAGCCCATTGATGAGACCCTCAGGTAGGCAGCCAGGTGCTGCCGCTTGTCGGAAAAGCCGCTAGCGGCGGTAGGAACTGACGGCGACAGCTATTGACTTGGCCTAGCTAACCTAGCTAGCCCTTTTTATTGTTGGCGTTTTATTTGATTTTAACATCTGAATGTTAGTGAGAAGAAGAAAATGTCAAAGCCAGTAAAGTACCAGAAGCGGGATAAAACAGCGGTTAAAGCTAGCGAGTGAGTCTGGGAGAGGGCTACTCTCCTCGGACACATTACTCTGAAGCCCCGGTGACGGTCTGGAAGTGTGGATTAATAAATAAAAACAAAACAGCGGTAAAAGCTAGCGTGCATGTCCGGGAGAGGGCTACTCTCCTCGGACATATTACTCTGAAGCCCCGGTGACGGTCTGGAAGTGCGGATTAAAAAACAAAACAAAAAAAACACAGCAGTAAAAGGTAGCGCGTGTGTCCGGGAGAGGGCTACTCTCCTCGGACATATTAATCTGAAGCCCCGGTGACGGTCTGAGTGTGCGCGCGCCGCGTACAGCGGACCACCATGAGTAGCATTTGCGAGCGGACCACCATGGGTTACAGACGGAAGGACTTTTACCCGCGGCCCTAGGTTAGGGTTATGGGAAAAAAAACAGGTAGGTTAATATCCCCCCCCCCCGTCGGTCGTAGGTCCGGGGGTGGGTTAATATCCCCCCCCCCCCCCCCCCCCATGGGTCGTAGGTCCGGGGTGGGTTAATATCGCGCACCCCCCACGTCGCTTATATGTGAATAAGGGAGTACCCAGGGGTTGAAACTAACTTTTTGGCTTACCAGACAACTGGCGAGTAGATGAACATTTTTACTAGACAAAAATATTAAATTGCAATTTGTTAGAATTACTTTTTCGTATGTCTGTCTAAATTGATTTTCAATCATAGTAATCGCATTGTGTCTCTTCTCTTCACAATATTTATTAGCAGCATATATACAGAAACATTTTTCACTTCATTCTTAACACACATTTTTTTCAAACCAATTGCGACCGAAAAAATCCACACATACTCAACCGAAACCGTCAAGTCTAAATCATGCGATAGGCGCGCACGATGACATCCTCACAGCATGCACACCGGCTGTGTGTGGACTCGGGTCTGCGGCTGAGTCCGCGGCCGGGTCCGCGGTTGGCGGGTTCGGTGCTGGGTCCACGGCCGGGCCCGAGTCCGCGGTCGGGTCCGAGGCTGGCGGGTCCAGTGCTGGGTCCGCGGCTGGCGGGTCCGGGTCCGCGGCCCAGCACCCCCCCCGTTGACAATCGCGCACCCCCCCAATCGCGCCGAATTTTGTTCCCACTCCAGCCCTGGTCCCCACCACTTCTAAAACCAAACTGACGCCCTTGATGATGGGCTTTTATTTTTTTAGATTACTCGCCAGAGTGGCGAGTGGTCTTCATAAATTACTCGACAAATACAAAAATTACTCGCATTTGGCGAGTAAAACAGCTTAATTTCAACCCCTGGGAGTACCGTACCGGCACTTATTTTTTTCCACTTCGAGCACTGAACGTACCTCATCATCCGAAACAAAACTTGATGAAGTGGTGTTTGAAGACATGTTGTTATCATGTTGTCATAGCTCCTTGAATCTTGACTAATACCGCTTGCCGTAGTTCGAAAACGCGAGGCGCTAGAGAGCATCAATTCGTTTGAATGCAAAATACAATTTGACCACTAGATGGGGGAAAAAACTACTTAGTGTCCCTTTAAGTATTGCCATGTATAATTCTACTTATTTGTTAATAGTCCTGCCAGAATCCAACCAGTACCCCTCCAGGGTATCTGCAGGAATCATAAAGATGAATTTACTACCTTTTACTACCTTTTTTACTACCACCAAAATATTTTTTACTACCAACACGACGCGGCCGGGGGGCTGGGGGTTGGGGAGTATTGAGTAGAGTTAAAAATGATTACAGATTGATTCAAGTGCCAATTTGGTGTAAATTGACCCACAGTCCTGTATAAGCTCACCACATGCAGTCCATATGGATAAAGATTTGGAGCAACACCTCTTCACAATTTGTGTTCCAAATTGTCCCATTGTTTTTTCCTATGTACTGCGTTTTATTTGGTTTTAACATCTGAATGTTAGTGAGAAGAAAAGATGGATGAAAAAAAAAAAAAAAAAAACAGCGGTAAAAGCAATCGAGTGAGTCCGGGAGAGGGCTGCTCTCCTCGGACACATTACTCTGAAGCCCCGGTGACGGTCTGGAAGTGCGGATTAATAAATACTTTTTTTTTTTTAAACAGCGGTTAAAAGCTAGCTTGTGTCCGGGAGAGGGCTGCTCTCCTCGGACACATTACTCTGAAGTCCCGGTGACGGTCTGGAAGTGCGGATTAAAAAAATAAATAAATAAAAATAAACAGCGGTTAAAGCTAGCGTCTGTGTCCGGGAGAGGGCTACTGTCTTCGGACACACATTACTCTGAAGCCCCGGTGACGGCCTGGAAGTGTGGATTAATAAATACACTTTTTAAAAAAACAGCGATAAAAGCTAGCGTGAGTCCGGGAGAGGACTGCTCTCCTCGGACATATTACTCAGAAGCCCCGGTGACGGTCTGGAAGTGCGGATTAATAAATAAAATACTGCGAGCGCGGTACAGCGGACCTGAACCGGATGTGATGAGACTTGTTTAGCAGAATGCGGAAGTATGTTGCGCATAACCCTTAGCATCGTATACTTTAATTTTAGGCTAGAATTTTTCTTTTTCTTTTTTTTCAGAACAAATATTATATGGAAACTCATATATGGATGTGGTGACTTTTTTTTTTTACTACCAAGTGAAATTACATTTACTACCTTTTACTACCTTTCAAGGGCCTTAATTTTGAAAAAAAAAATTACTACCTTTTACTACCCCGCGGGGACCCTGCTACCAACCCCAGATGCAAGCAGTGGTATGTCATTGCTTATTACAATTAGGGCTGGACCCGAATATTCGACTATTCGGATATTCGTTCGTTGGGTAGGTATTCGGTTTTCAATTTTGGGATTCGGATATTCGTTTTTTTTTTTTTTTTTTCTAAATGTAGGCTATCACTAAAGGCGAACCGCAAAATACATTTCGTCAGCACATTCTTGTACTATATTTATACTTGACTGTTAAGATGTGGAAATATATACCATCTCAGCTTGGGCGCGTGACATCACTCACAGCAGTGAACGTCAGGCTTCAGTTTGTAGCGTTTGTAGCGCACCGCGGACCTACGACCGTATTATGACAGTCCTGGACTGGCCCAATAATCTGGACCGGCCCAAAAATAATAATACACAAAATAAAAAAATACAAAATAATCGGCCTGAAATCGTCCGGCCGAACCTCCCTATGGCAACCCGTCCCTGGTTATAGGCCTATGCGGCGCTCGTAAAAGCCGAACAATGCGCTCTTAAAGGTTTGGAGATTCAACAAGACTAAGTCTGTATTCCAATTACAATAAGTAGCCTACTTATCGGCCAACAATAATCAAACAAGGCAGTACAAGTGGGCATTAAACTGTATAACTGTTTTGAAAAAAGGGGAAAAGGCCGACATATGCCTATACAATATGCAGCCGGCGCTCGGAAAAAGGCTCGCGACAAAAAGATGAGCCACACATTTAGAAACAATTGCATGAACTATCTAAAAGCAATACCTTAGTCAGAAAACATATATGAGGCTGAACGTTTTGTTAAAATGTCAGTTATGGAAGTATTTAAAATGTTGGAGCGGCTGGCTTGACCACGCGAACCGCTTGACCGCAGTACGCGATCGGTCATTAATCAATAATCGTATTTAACCGTATAACTGCACACAACTTTATTTAACAGCAAGCAAATGGAAAACACGTGTTGGTATTCTGGTGTCCGGTGCGTGTGGACGTGCGGCTTCTCCTGCGGAGCGGTTCATGTTAATAGCGGAGTCCGGGAGGGTTCACCTTCACGGCGTAGTTACGAGGGATGTGCGACTATCGTCTTAAAAATACTAAAGTGTTTTTTAAAGTTAGAAAGATATTAGATATTCAACCGATATTCACGCTCCGAATTACAGCGATCAGACACGGGGAACTAAAGCCGCGATCACCGCACCGCTTCAAGACTCACAGTATGCAACACGTCCTTTTGATCGATAACAATATAAATTGATCGACACATTTCTTAACAATCAATGATCGATCATCGATTAATTATGCCCATCCCTAATAAGGAGTAATGTGGGAACATCTGAGGCTAAGGCAATTGGCATAAAAAACTTTTTTTTTTTTTTTTTTTGCCCCCCCCCCCCCCCGAATATTCGAATATTCGCTGTCGATTACTACCGAAGCTCCGGAGCCCAAAATATGGTATTCGGGACAGCCCTAATTACAATGGCATGCGAGGTTTAATTTACAAGCATTTAGTTCCTCTGTCAATACAGGCAACATATCAGTCATGTGAAAGTTACAGCTCTATTCCTGTCTTGCGTTCCCTTCTTTTAGCCTCTGTGATTTGTCTGAGTTATAGCAATCATAGTTTATGTTTTGTGTTCTCTCATTTTAGGCTTTTGTGGAAGTTTCTTGGCAGAGCTGTCACGGTCTGTCTGCCACGCCCCCTCCACTACTCCATTCATTGACCCTCGCAGCTGGGCTGCATCAGGTAATTAGTGGAGGAGCCCTTCACCATTCACCTGGT